GAGAGAGAGAGAGAGAGAGAGAGAGAGAGAGAGAGAGAGAGAGAGAGAGAGAGGCACCTGATGGAAAAAGAAGACAGAAAATCACCGGCGATCGCTGGGTGCAACGAGGACAAATGCGCTGGGCGCCCTAAGACCGACGATAGACGAAAGAGATGCGAGTAGGTGCAAGTGAGAGATAGAGAGCGAGCGAAGAGGATCGAAAGGGGAGTCGTCGGCGACCGAGACGGAGAATAGAAGACGCTCGAAAGAGGGAAAGAGAGAGATCCCAGCGGTGGACAGAAGAGACCGAAGGAGGGAACACGGTGGGAGAAAGAGACAGAAGGAGGGAGTCGGTGCGACGTCGGCGACGAGAGAAGGGGAGAGTGTGAAGCGAGAGAGAGGAACGGAACGGAACAGGGTTGTTCCAGTATGCAGCGAGCGGGCATCGCGGCGGGAGCGCCGTTCTGCTGCTCCTGTATATCCATTCAGGGTTATATGCACCATCCACCGCATCCTAGCGATCACGACGACGTCGGCGACGACGACGACGACGACGACGACGGCGACGACGACGACGACGACAACGACGGCGACGACGGCGACGGCGACGGCGACGGCGACGGCGACGGCGACGGCGACGGCGACAGTGACGACGACGACGACCACCACCACCACCACCACCACCACCACCACGACGGCGACAACTACCACAACTGACACCACCACGACGAAGACAAGAACCACAACGATCACGACAAACCCGTCGACGACGAAGACGACGACGACGCCGGGAAGCAGGAGAATATCGGTCGCATTGGATACCCGAGCCTGTTCGTAGTAGCAGCAATATCAGCGTTGGTAGTAGTAGTAGTAGCAACCGTAATACGCGCCGCGGACTAACTTTCTCGGTCTGTAACGTCGTGAACATCCCAGAGTGAGAAAGAGAAGTTTGTCGGGACGGAGGGCAAGACGCAGTGCGGGCAAAACGACAGAAGGAAAACAGCCGGAGGAGAATATCTAGTGATACCGCGGTCAGGCAGGCAGGTAGGTCCATCTCCAGAGGGAGGCATCGGCAAGGAGCCGCTCCTCAACGCTCCAGCATGACCCAGCCTTAGTACAGCTCTCCTGTCGTATACCCTCCGCGGCGCGGCACGATACGACACGTAGAAGAAGGTGGTGGAAGAGTTGGAGGTGGTGCTGGCGCAGGAGGAAGAAGAGGAGGGGGAGGAGGGGGGCAGGGAGAGGGTGGAGGACGCCGAGGAGGACGGAGAAGAAGAAGAAGGAGGCGAAGGAGGAGGAGGAGGACGGAGGCCTGGCTAACGACGGCGAACGTCCTCGAGGGTGCGAACCAACAGCAGCACCACCGCCGACGACGACGATGATCGCGACGGGTGGCGATCGACGTACGTGTTGGAGACGGAGGCGCCGATTGGCGGTGGTGACTGTGCTCTCCGCGGTTTTGGCGCTCGCGATGGGCCCCTCGTCGTCCTGGGGCCACAGGCCGGTGCCGAACAATCGGATTACACTTGACACCACCAGCACGCTCCTGCCGGTCGTGTTGCGGTTGGACAACGGTGTGTCAGTGTACGATCGCAATAATAGCAACATCGGCTTCAACGCCGCCGGCCACGACGGACACAATAGGACTAATGAAAACGCTACGGAAAAGAGGCCGCTCTTCCCCGACGATCTGTTCACCACTGACCAACGGCGTCGTGGCGCCGTGATACTCCACATACTCGGCGTTGTGTATATGTTCGTCGCGCTGGCAGTCGTCTGCGATGAATTCTTCGTGCCGTCATTGGACGTGATCATTGAGAAATTCGAAATCGCTGACGATGTAGCCGGTGCCACTTTCATGGCCGCCGGTGGATCGGCGCCCGAACTCTTTACATCGATTATAGGCGTGTTCGTGTCGTTTGACGACGTCGGGATCGGCACTATCGTCGGTTCCGCCGTCTTCAACATCCTCTTCGTAATCGGCATGTGCGCTATATTCTCGCGTACGGTGCTGTCGCTCACATGGTGGCCTCTGTTCCGCGACTGCACCTTCTACAGCGTCAGTCTGCTCACCCTGATCTACTTCTTCCGTGACAGTCACATACACTGGTACGAGGCGCTCGTACTGTTCGGATTCTACTTGGGATATGTAAGCTTTATGAAGTGGAACCAGCAGACGGAGAGATTCGTCAAGAGAATACTCTACAGAAACAGAGTGACCCGGGTGAGGTCTACCGATCAGCTGATGCCCTCGGTATGTACGGAATGTTATACCGCGAGCGTACACCGCGATCTAGGAAAATGTCTGACCCTGTCTCTGTCTACTTTTACACCGATCGATCAGTCTGTCTTGCTCTACGATTTCCCTCTCGCTCTCACCATGCCCCGGCATCGCGTATCGTGTCTCTTTCTATCCATGACCCACGTAGATACGCGCGACTGTTGTGCCGCTGTCTCTCTATCTCTGTGTCCGTCCATCTCTGTCTTTCCCTACTGAACCCTTTCTCTATACTTTCGCCCCTATTTTCTCTCTTTCTTGTTTCGTCCCCCTCTGCCCCTCACGCGCGTACTTACACATCGTGCCTTTTCTCTTCCTTTCTCTCTCTCTCTCCTCCTCTGCCTCTCACCCTTTACCCCTTTCTCTACTATCGTGACTTTATATTTCATGGAGGAGCATAGCGTCGCGTGACTTCACCTACTCGCACGACCGCTCGTGGGCGGTGTTTTGTCTCGTGGAGGGACATTGCCACGTTCACTTTTTTCCACGCGGTTTTTTGCATTTTGCGTTTTGCGTTACGAGATCAACGGGCGAACCTTGAGCAGACGGCGTGGTCAAGAGTCGCGACCTTGACCAATTCGCGGAACTTTCATGACGAACGGATGTCCAAGCTGCGCCTGATTTAGCGCCGACAGGGACCTGCTTTCCTGCATGTTTCATCTCACGTTTAATAAGTCAAGTCGCCAGATCGAAAGTAAATTTGATCACTAAATTCGAACAATACTGGTGGGTCTGAAATTACAGAGCACATTTTTAGCAACGCTATATCAGGTGCGCCTTTCTATTGCAATGAATAATATTATATCAAGCAACTGAGAGATATTCTATCTGTGAAATATGAGAAGTGCGCGACTATCGAGCGTCTTTACCGATTTGCACAACGCGTACGGGACTGTTGGCTCCTCAGTGCTTCTAGAATAGCATCAGTCATGCTTTGGGAAACGAAGGATTGACCCGCTTAACCCGCATATGTAGGCCAAGAAAGAGATATCGGGAGATACATCGATTCCTACACCGACCTCGTCTCCCCACGAGATATTTTTTCTCTTTCCCACTTTTATTCGCAATGATGACAAGCGTGATCTTTCTTGCATTTATTCATTTTGCAATGCATTTTCCATTCCCATGATTTTCATAATATAATGTTATATTCGGCATTAGACGACAGAGACCACACTATACTAAAAAAAAATATCTAAAAAATAGTAAATATTTCTTAGGGGTGTGCGTGTGTGTGTGTGTGTGTCTGTGTGTGTAGAAAGAGAGGAGGGGATACTAATATATTCATTTAAACCAAAATTATTTTATTTGAATAGAGTAAAAAATTGCTTTCATGTAAAGCTAAAGACAAAAGACAGGAAGCGTGCGTACGTCGATTCAAGTACGAGTAAATTCACTTATGCGCAACGCGTCCTCAAGGTTTCCTCAAGGTTTAGAGAAAATGTGTATTTTTTATCTAAATATTTTATCCACATATATAAAATAGAATGTGCATTCTCTATTAAATTCTAAATTCGCTGACTAATCGAGATTAAATTTTGCATAGTTACTATCTAAAACTCTGTGAAAAATACGAAAACCTGGACATCCCACTTTCTTTCTCTATTTTCACTCTCTTGACAGTTTGTGACAATTTAAGTTTAGATGTTTTAGATCTAACAAGATAGTTTAAGCTAATATTGGTATAAGTAAATATGTACCCATAAAATAATAATTAGTGTATCCATAAAAAAAAAATATTTACTATTTCTTAGATTTCTATTTTTCCTCTTAGTGTAGTCTCTCTCCGTGTTCAGAGCGTAATTATTATCGCACCATCGTGAAAAACGTGAGTTAAAGAAAAAAAAAAAACATGGGAATCGAAAAACACAAGTTTATCCACAGCATCTTGATTCATTACAGTGTACACATCGACAATCGGAAGTAGTGGGCGCCATTCGATCGTTTTCACATATACTGAGAGAAAAATATAGTTGCTTTTGGCGTCAACTATACTTTTTTGTGATTTTAACCAGAAAAATAATTAGAAGAACCATCTTTCTAATAACACTTACTAAAACAATGGTTTGCCTAACTATTTTTATGGTTAAAATCACAAAAGAGTATAGTTGACGTCGAAAGTAACAATATTTTTCTCTCAATGTATGTGTAATGCGTTAACGAGACGCAACGTCGCGGACTTTCCGCGGGCTAGGTACGGCTAGTGCTCGCGCGTGAATCTAGTGCATTGTCTAGTGTTTATTCTGGTAATGGTGTCTCTCGCACAGCGAGACAGCACGATTCATAAGCGGAGGAAGGCTCGCACTCAAGGTCGTCAGAGACGTCACAGGTGCTGGGCTCTTCCACGCTGAAGTTTCTTTGACCTGTCGCGAAAGAGAGTGCCTTACCGCGGTGCACAAAGCCGGGGTGCGATACGTCCCTGGACTTTAATACAAACGTAGAAACTTTACATTATGGGAGAGAACTAGCTGTTGTGACAACATTCAGTGTTACGCGCAATAGCTCGCGTAGTGGACATCAACGCGTAACGTTGCGAGTTTTGTCGCGTGTTTCTCAGCCGCCAATGAAGTTATCGCTGTCAAGCGCGGGCGCGCGCGCCCTTTTTTTCGTCTGCGTCTCATCTCGCAAGGTTATCGGACCAAGTGCTCAAGGAAAAAAAAAGAAGTAAAGAGAGAGAGAGAGAGAGAGAGAGAGAGAGAGAGAGAGAGAGAGAGAGAGAGAGAGAGA